TTTTTTCTGAAGAAGGGTCTAGACCCGAAACGTCAGTTTTCCTGCTCCTCTGATGCTGCTTGGCCTGCCGTGTTCATCCAGCTCTACACCTTGTTATCTCAGATTTTCCAGTATCGGCAGTTCCTACTAACCCAGGTACTTGTTTTTGACCAGTTCAGATTTGAAGGGATAAAAGGTGTCTTTCTGTGCTGTTGACCTCTGTGACTCGGTGAGCTGAAATCTATGTCCACTGTTTATCGATCCCTGCATCATGAGGAAATGTTTGTTCCTGTAGTAAAGTGTTATTGAGTAAAGGCAGCATATGTGTGAAACTTAATGTGATATTTTTAGATAATTTTATTGAGGGGGAGAACGTTGATGATAAATAGTATTTATGCAATATTTTCACAACTACTTGAGCTCACAAAGTTGGGTAGACCTCTGTCACTATGATTACCAACGGTCTCCTTTTCCCTAGTCAGACTTTTATACGCTGACTTTTCCTCCAATGAAGCAATGGAAGATGAATATTTTTTAAGCCTCTTCAACAAACCCATTCTCTTTTACCAATTCCAATACATCTCATCCAGCCCTCAGTTCAGGCTGAACCAAACTCGCCACAACGGCATCATCCAATTTTACCATGACCTGAGAGCATTTAAACACATGAACTACTAGCAGGTAGGCCATTCATCCCATCAGGCCTGCTCCACAAGTTCCAGATTCCATCTGAAATGTCATCCGCTGCCTCCCATCAGTATTGCCCATCAGTGAACAACAACCCCTCACCCCCAATTGTGCTGAAAGTCTAAACTATGCTTTCATTAGCACTGGACCTTGTATTCTGGCCAACCTTCTACTTTCTATCCTTCATACGCTTGATCTCATCTAAAACTCTGCAAGCCTAACTCAACCTTCTACATACTGCATAGCCACCTAATATTTTCATCCTCTTTTGAAATCCCTCCAAGGTCGCACCTCTTCCCATGTCTGTCATCTCATGCTGCCCTACAACATCTCTCATACCTGCAGATCTCCAGTTCTGATCATCTGTACATCCTGATTTTAAATGTTCCACCATTCGTGGCTGTGACTAAGGTGCTAAATTTTGGAATTTCCTTCCTTAATTTCTCTGCCTATCTACTGCTTCAACATCCTTACAGATGACTACTAAAGACTACGCCTTTGACCAAACATCTGCTCATCTGATCTACTATGCATCTCTTTAAGATATGGATCTGAGGAACCACTTTGAAAGCAGTCCAGCCTAACCTCTCTGGTCCATGTTTCTGAACATGGAACATGATTTTTAATGAGCGCATCATTGGGCCAAGCCTGTAGGTGTATGTCTTTTCAGAAATCTTATGACCCCAGGTTATAGTCCAGAGGTTTATTTGAAATCACAAGCTTTCGGAGAGTAGCCCCTTCGTCACTTCACCTGACGAAGGGGCTATGCTCCGGAAGCTTGTGATAGACCAACAGATTTATTTGAAATAACCTGGTGTTGTGATTTCTGACCTTTTCCACCCCCTGTCGAACAACGGCTCGTCCACATCATGTTTTTTCATGAAGTCTGAAGAAACCTGTTGCATCACTCCGGATGGTCAAGAAACATGTTCTGATCGGGGCAGCCACATAGTTTTTTAAATGGATATTTGTGCCATAACTGATTTATGAAAGATACTTTTATTTGGAAATTTTGTTTATTTCATTCTCAGTGAGTAGTTTTTACATTTCTTTTTCTGATTTTAAGATCTTTCATACAAGATTAAATTGAATGTTATATTTATTTTACCATACAAATGTTGTAAGTTTATCTTACTTTAATTATGCCATTATTTATTGCATATTTTGACTTGTCTTCTTTCCCCAATGCCATCATTATTGTTTGTAATTCTGGGTAGGCCTTGGCCCAGGCAATAAAAGAAGCCAAAGAACAGCACCCAGACATGTCTGTCACCAGGGTAGTGGTACATAAAGAAACAGAGCTCACTGAGGATGGGGATGAATGAGTTAAGGTAAGGGAACGCAACATCTACTGAGACAGCAAACTTAATGAGAGCAGATGTCATGTTCAGTGGAATATGCCTTTCTTTTCTAGACAGACTTTCTTTTTCTATGCAGGGAAGTATGCATGTTATGAACATGCTTTTATCCTTGACTGCTTACTAGCCAGCAATGCCTGGCTGTGATTTCACTTTTTTTTTTCTTCGTGTGTTTTGTCTGATCGAAGTCATAACACTGCAGTTGGCTTTAATATGCTGCGAATGGTTGAATCTAAGTTATATCAAACTGAACACAGCAATCAACTAGGTCTCCATAAACATTCCAAAACTAAATATTTATTACAGAAACATTAGAATTACTGGTCAGAAATTTGGCTAACACAATTCTATATGTGTATTTAATCTGAAAGCTCAGAAGTATATTGTTATCTGAAATGCATTAGAAAACAACAACCAGGATTTTGTCAGAACTCTCAAATTGTAACAACATTTTAACAAACCGGATAGTTTCAGCATTTTAGCTAGCTAAATCAGTGCATTCATCAAAATTGGCTCGATTTCCATTCTTTTGGCTTCCCTCCTGCAATTATTATTCTAGTTAAATGAGAAATACTGCAGTATGTGTTTTAATGAGTTACTGTTACATTAAATTTCATACTTAAGTTATGATTTCTGTTTTTACAATTCATTACAAAATTCTTTGCCTTCCTGTAAATGCTTTAATTTTTTTGTAGAACATCAGTCGTTAGAAGTGTGTTTAAGTCATAGTAATAACATAGATGAATAGAGTTCTCAGACTAACGGTGCTGTGTCTCAGAATTTTTTTTAAAACACTCTAACTATCACCCTATAGCAAATGGCAGAAAATTGTAATAGAGATTTCATGCTTTTTTTTAAAAACTGGATTTTCTCAAAAGCTTCCTTTTGTAAATAACTTATTGCTATACAAACATCTCTTTCTATAGCGGATTGATTACAAATGTGAGATACTGCTACTATTGATTATGTTAACAACGTTGACCAAAAATGCAGTGTTTTACGGAAGTATTGCTTTCAAGAAAACTATTGATAATGTAAAAACTTAATGTGAAACGCATTGATTGTATGGCAAGTGAACAGATTATATATTGAAGTGGCGACAGAATTATTGCTAGTGGAAGAAGAACAACTTTTTGGTGTCACCTAGGTTTCATTTAAGAAATATTTGCATTTTACTGAGAACCTCATCAGTGGAACCACTGGTAGTATTGAAACATTTAACTGAAGTCAATTGAAAATAGGAATAAGGATGTAATTTCACAAAAATAATTAGAAATACACAAAATTACAATTGCTGTGCAATTTATAAGAAGTCTTGATAATGGGTGTATGAAATAATTTCCATGGTACACCAAGTATTGTAATTTTGCAATAGTACATAAAGTCAAAGCAATTCAATATAGCTGACATTTAAATTAGTGAGAAACACAAATAGCGCATAGAGGATTCTGGGAAGGGAAGTATTTGTGTAGCCTGATATGGTTTAGTTGGAAGAAGTGGCAGCAGGGGGTTTCATGCTACACTACTTTCAAAGTCAGTTTGGGTATCTACGTATCATGTAAAAGCTGAAAGAACTATTCCAAGGAAGAGTCACCAGACACAAAACATTAACTCTGATTTCCCTTCACAGATGCTGCGAGACTTGCTGAACTTTTCCAGCAATTTCTGTTCTTGTATCATATAAAAGACTGTTCCAGTTACAGTAATATATTTTGTACATGTATATTTTGTACATTGAAGAGAGTGTTTCAAATCTCCAGGGCTTTGGGGTTACTTCTTAGACAAAAGGAATCTATATTCCTGATAGGCTTACCTAATTTAACTAAGTTAATCTTACTATTCTGTAGAGGTAGATCAATGGGGCAAATCTAAGCAGTAAGCTCAAGAATAGAACATGGAGCAAATGAGAGAAGTTAAAGAAAAGCATGGACGAGGAAAGAATGAGAAGTAGGCAAAGATTATCAGATAAATCAGAAAATTGGGAAAGCCTTAAAATCCAACAAAAGATGCTCAAAGTAAAATGGAGAAAATACACTGACAGCAAACTAGCAAGTAACATAAAAACAAACAGTAAGAACTTATTTAAATATATAAAAAGTAAACAAGGGGAAACAATGAACATGGGACCCATACAGATTGAGCTGAGGAAAAAATAATGGGGAACCAGAAAATGGCAGAAGAGTTGAGCAATTACTTTGCATTAGTTTTCACAGTAGAAGGCTGTAATGGCATTCCAAAAATACTCAAGTTAGGGGTAAAGAAGCAAATATCATACAACAACTGTCAGTACAGAGAAAGCACTATGGGGAAAAAATAGGGGAAAAAAGGGTCAATAAATCCCCTGGACCTATTGGAATGCGTTCTAGGATTTTAGAGGAAGTTTGTACAAAGATAGTGGATGTACTGGTAGTAATCTTATAATTATGAGAGATTTTGCATCTTGACAGAGAGAATAGAGGTGCTGAATGTTATTTAAACAGGGAAAGAGTGTGGCAAGCCGCAACTCTATGTAATTTCGAGTCCTAGTGCGTGAATCACAAAAATGTTGGCATCCACGTTCAGCATCTAATAAGGAACACAAAAGGAATGTCTACCTTCTTTTCAAGGGGAATGGAGTATAAAAATAGTGAAGTCTTGCTAAAACCATACAACGCTACAGTCAGACTACAGCTGGAATACACTGAATAGTTTTGGGCCCCTTATCTAACACTATACCGTACTGACTTTGGAGGCAGTCCAGAGAAGGTTCACTAGATTGATTTCAGGAATGGATGAATTTTCTGGCATATGTTGTGCTTCTTTGCATTGGAATTTAGAAGAATGCAAAGAGACAAGGTTGAGACATGCACAATTCTTAGGGACCTTGACAGGATAGATGCAGAGAGGTATTTTGCCTGTGGGAGAGTCTGGGACCAGAGGGCATAATCTCAGAGTAAGCAGTTGCCCATTTAGTACAGAGATGAGGAATTCCTTTCTCTACAGGTAGTCAGTTTGTGGAATTCTTTACTGCAGAGTGCTGTCATGTCATTACGTATATTCAAGGCTGAGGGGTAGTCGCATTTTTAATCAGTAAGGGAATCAAGGATTATGGGGAAAAGGCAGGAAAGTGGAGTTGCGGGTCATCGGATCAGCCATGATCTCATTTAAATGGTGGAGTGAACCCAATGGGTTGATTGACCTACTTCTGATCCTACACCTTATGATCTTATCAGTATTTTTTGATTTATCATTTCTGTGTACATTTGAAATTAACAAAGGTTTCAGCACTGCGTTTTTTAAATCTTAAAGCAGAAGTTACATACATTGGAGTCGTTATAACTTTTAGCTGTTTCTGTTTAATATATAATAAAAATCAGCAGCACTAGGCTACATGCTGAAGGTCTATCATTATACCCTATTCATCTAGTAGTCATTCTGTATTTTTCCTTCGAAACGGGCAGATATCAGGAGCAAATACAGAAATGTGCTTTCACTGAACAACGGTGAATGTCGATCTTTTCAGTTTTGTAGCTATCTTAGATGCCAAATCGCTAATATTGTGTTCTTTACTTCCAGAAATGAATATTGCCTGAAATTAAATGACGATCTTTACCATCAGAGTGACCACTGCCACGAATAATAACGCAAAATTTCCTCTGAGCATTAGCAAGTAACATCCTACGTAAAAGTTGCACGTAGTGTGAATATCTGAAGAGCAGCCTTCTAAAAAGCAGAATTGGAGTTAGTTACTTAAAATCATTAGTCTGTAATTTGATCATTTACTCTTTAGTAATTTGATGGCTTATTAACCTACCACTTCTGTATACCATTAGAATTTAATAACTGCAAGTAAATAATAGAAAAATGGCTGAAAGTAGATTTCTTTTTAGAAGAGTTTTGTACAGGATGTCATGACTAACTTAGAGTAAGTGGCTCACTTTCAAAAACCGAATAAGTATATGTAAACCTGTTGTTGCAGAAACATTTTTTTTAGCATGATCAAGTAGTTACCAAATATTGTGGAAAAGGGAAATATGGAAGGACTTTGTTCAAACTTTTCCAGTGTCACTTCAAACTCTTAACATGTCTGTTCAAAAGAATTACGTCTGTTTATAAAGAATCTCCTAGCCTACCTATTACTGAAAAAAATTAAAGGGGACCTAATGTTAAACAAGTATCATTCCATTAAAAAAAATCACTATATTGCATTTACTATATAATATTTTTTTAAGTCATCCATGGAACTGGGAGATCCATATTGGAAAAAGATACTTTTCTATTTACTTATCAGCTCTATAACATAACTTGGTTGGCAGCTTAAAGTTTAATGCTTTTAAATCATTTTTCCTTAATTGAAAAAAATCACTATATTAAATGCATTTCTATAAATTCTTTTACATTGATCTTGATATGAAAACATGATCTTTATAGTTAATGGGCAAATTGTATTGCATTTTGGATGGCTTTGTCTAATGTTTGAGGGAGGTTTTGAAAAAATAATCTGTTTAATATTTAATCTTTTCTGTAGATATTATTGCAGAATCTTTTCTTTAGCATTTGTTTGAAAACTACTAAATCTTGACTGTCATGTGCTTTTGATCCATATATAGAGATAAACAAGCAAAATAATATTTTAGTAGCTTCAAAGTTGTGTTGAATGATATTCTTGCTCTGTGTAACGCTGTTGAAAATAAATTTCACTTAAAATAATGTTCTAACTACTCTGTTTTTCTATGTTCGATTCTGTTGTTGAACTCCTTAAATGGTACAATGGCACTAATGATTTGAGGGAACCAAAGTTTTCACGGCTCATAATGGACAATCATTTCAATTACTATACGTGCCTGTTATGCTACAAAAGTAAATTTAACATTAGTCATTTATTTAAAAAATTTCAAATGTGGTTCTTTGTTGCTCGATTTCCAGTGCTACTGACAGTCCCTCTCTGTCTGACACACTGTTCCACTTTCTCTTTTAATGAACTGTGGTGCATTAAATTTTGCATATCCTAAGCCTTGATGCTGCATGACTCAGTGCATCATTTAGGGAATAAGAGAGAACTGCATTGTGACTTTGAAGATATTGAAAAGTAAGAGGGACAATAAAGTGAAATACAAACAACAAAAAGGAAGTCATTAAATTATGTGGACACCTCATTGACAAAAATGTCACAATCTTGGAAGTGAGTTGGAGAAAAATCAAAGTAGTCAAAGATCGAAAAACATGACACAATTTTTGAAAAAGCAAAGGAAGTTACATGAGATATATTGTTTGGGAAAAATCATTGATTACGTCTATCATAATTGTGTTTTATAAAACTGTTGTCACAAATTGGTCTGTCCGATACATTCTAATAATGCCTAATGAGAGCTACTGTAAATGCTTCAAGCATTTACTTTTAAAAAGATGTAACTAAATTAATCAGTATATTAATAAAGTAAGCACAGAAATATTAGAAAATCTAACTTAAAGTCCAGATGACTTCTTAGAAACACTTTAATACAAATTAATATGGATAAATTGTTGAACTTTTAACTTATTGCTCATGTAAGTTTCAGTTACATCATGATCTATAGAGGTTGGACAATTATAAAGTGTACTGTGATGATTCAGAATGATTTGATTACTACATTCATTAAACAAAATGTTCATAATTTTAAAAAAATTTAAGTTTTAAAACTTTTTTTAAACACCACTTTCCTGCAAGGTCTCCCCCATCCTTAGGCCTGGGAGGATCTAGTCCTTTAGATCTTCGATCATGAGTGGTCTTTATGATGAGGAAAATGCCATGTCAGCAAGTTTTTGGTACTGGTAAGCCAGTTTCTTTTGCTTTGGATTTGGGTCATCCTGCCAGGCAGAGACAGTATTGCACTGCTAGATTTCAAGTTGTTGATAACTCATGATTTTTATCAAATCAGTCCTGATGTTTCCTGACAGACAATCCAAGTGTTTCTTTGCAGACAAAGATGATAATTGGCTTAAGGACATCCTAAGGACTGTGGACACATTTTCTATCCTTGATTGAGGCTTGGTAGTTTTTTTATTCTGAAGATATTGTTGAAATTGGTTGTTTTTTTATTGGATCCTTCAGAACGTTGACATTAATCTTTCATGGACATTTGTTATGTCTGTTGTTTAGGGACTAGTTTGATGGACATGATTGAATTAATAAGTCGGTGATCATTTTGTGGCTTGACAAAGGCCTTTCCCTCTGTAAACTGTGCAAAACCCTGGAAGATTCTGAAGTATGGATATCCTCAAATTCTTCTGCTTCGTGATGATATGGAAGTGGCGATCTTTAACAACGGGTCCCATTACAGAGCTAGTTCCAAATTAAGCCAGGATCATTCTCCATCTGACCAACTATAATATTTCAGCTGGGACTGCAGCTTAGTTAGCTAATAAACGGTAAACTTTTAAATCTCAGATGACTCCAATCAAAAACTGAGACCACCTCAACCTCAGCTGTTGAATACAGTGATGATACTGCAGTTAATGACAAGTCAGAAACTGAACTTCAGAGAATCATTAACATACTGAGGCATGAGAGACGATTGGGTTCACAGTCAATATTGGGAAGACCAAAATTCTCGATCAGCAAGTTCTAAATGTTCACACCTCAGCTCCATTGACTAGGATTCATGATCAGTGCCTGGAAAGTGTGGAACACTTTCTAGAATTTTGCAGGCTATCTTTTGCAAATGGCTGGTATTAACAATGAAATTTAGTGTTGCCTGAAATATGCTGGTGCAGCTTTTGGTTGTCTGAGGAAGTGGGTGTGTGTCAACCATAATACCAAAACTGAAACCAAGCTCATGGTTTTCCATTCATTCATGATCCCTCGCTTACAGTATAGCCCCTAAAACCTAGATGATATACAGGAGGCGTCTGAAAATACTAACCATCATACCATCAAAGTTGACTGCAGAAGATCCTACATATCAAATGGGAGGATGCAAGCATTGAGGCTGTGATAATTTGCCATCAACTTCATGGGGTTAGTCGTATTTTGATTTTTTTTTTTGATTGAAGTAACATGTGCAACTGTGATAGTACAATAAGTTCTATTATGACAGTCTACTTATTAAAATAAGTCTCTGTCTTTGCTGAGATTCAGTTGCTACATGTTGTATTTCGTATTCTATATTCAGTTGAATGGTGATGAGTGTGTTTCTTAAAGTTGTCTTTAACGTCTTTAGAAACTTCATTCACTGCCAGCTGGTTGTTCACTGTTGAGAAAACAGACAGATCATGAAAATAAATTAGTTTGTATGTTGACAGAAGCATGATTTGGAAGTTTCCTGACAACATCGAACTGAAATTATTTACGCACAAGTTAAAACATGAAACTGCCATTTCTAGTCATTTGTTTCTTTTTTATTAGTAAATAGTGTGGTGAGAGTTACATCAGCTTTAAACTGATGATGCGTTTAACTCCCCTTTCATCCATTAAGAAATGTCTGGTGCTCTATTCAAGATTGTGTACTTCTGAATTGGCCCTGACAGTCAGGTACGTAGATGTTCACTCTTGAACCATACCTAAACTTCCCCAGGTACAAGATGTCACCAACTGCACATACATGGCTGTCGAGACTCCCAAGGGCCAGTCAATGACCTTCAACAATAGGAAGGGATTCCATTTCCATGATCTGTAACCACTGAAAGTGAGTCCTTCAGGTACATGCACCGTTCCCAAGAAACAGACATGATGCCTAAGCAATTAGTCTGACATCCTGAGATAACAAGGTGTAGAGCTGGATGAACACAGCAGGAAAGCTGACGTTTTGAGCCTAGACCCTTCTTCAGAAAATTCGCCAGCATCTGCAGTTCCTACTAAGTCTGACATCCTCACAGCTTTGCTGGTTTCCCACATGCCTTCAGGGTGATTCTAGGGGAAGAGGCATTAGTACCATAACCTCAATGGGCATTCCAAAGACTCCTCACTCTAGCAGAGGAGAGTAACAGTATGGGTAACACTATGGGTACATCTGAGCACCCAGTCAGTGGGTCATGTGCTGCTGAAGTTGAGTTCCAGATCAATCCAACAGAGTAATCTGTATACCTTTGTAATGGTCTTGTGCTTATGGTAGTTTGCTGAGTTCTGGACAATTTAGCACTAGAGAACTCGTGGTGGGTGGGGTGGGGGAAGAGAAGGGTGGGGTCTTGACATCATTGACCACACCCTATCCAATGACCAGGATAAGCAGGAGATTGAGCAGGAAGCACAGGGTGAGGAACCTCTTTCATCAGAGGTGCGGGGAGTTGAGACACACCAGGGAGGTTTAGGACAATCTCTCCCGTACCCAGTTCCTGTGACAATGGCCTTTCAAAAGTACAATAAAGACTCCCCTTTATGCAATCCTGCTGCATCTCCTCATGTCACGTTTCATTGCCTACCGCCAAGTACACACTGTGTACTGACAAAGTTTAGGGACTGACCAAATTTAGCTTACCTCAATATGAGAGGACCATTAAGAGAGCAAGACTGTAGATGAGATTTAATAAGGCAACATGAAATGCAGGGAGACCAGTAGATAGCATGCTAATATTTGTTTATTGCCGTTTAAGTATAAAGTCTTAATATGTACAAAGTCTATAAAACCCATGAACCCTAAGCGTATCTGCATACTCTCCATAACTCACTTATGAGTGTTCCGACACAGTGCGACCTGTGTAGCTGAGGTGGAGGCAGTTCTGCTCCGTGGCTATGCTCTAGTTGCCTGAGGCTTGGAGAGTCCTAGCATACTGAGGGGCAACTGCAAATACAAGCAGAACCGACTTATGTCAACTTGGAGACTCGGGTGCTGGGGCTACTGACAAAGAGCCACAGAAACTGCCCTGAGAGGAGCCCCCAGAAGCAGAAACCAGCTGTTGTCCCTCCCCTGAAGGGTTTCTGAAAACCACCTAACTGAGCTGAGAAGGACAAGAACCTGATGAAAACTCTAGAAACTTTGCGCCTCCCACCCCCCACCCAATGGCACGGCTGCATTGACCTCATGGACAAGGTGATGTGACACAAGTTTGCGTACACCTCCCATATCCATTGGCAGGAGCTGGCCATCAATGATAGTCACTAGTACTTCAATAGAAGAAGTTTATGTGCACAGAGCTGAGACAGAGCCGCTTATGACTTGGAAGGATTCCTCCCATCATCCACACAAGAATGCACGTAGCCACAGGCAGCTTTACCAGATGCTGCCTTCTTCTATTACCATCATAGTACTTCCTATGTTACCCAATGACACTTTAGAATCACACCATCAGCCTGGGCCTGCTACCTCTCTGACTGTCAGTGGTCTTGGTTCTTATCACTTCCATCAGGTGCAACTGTGATGGACTCACCATCTTATGACCCTCAATCTAAATATGATTGGACACGCCACTGCGGAAGTATCTGACTGGTGGAAGATGTGCTGGGCATTGGTATAATAGTACACCTCCTGAGAATCTGCCGTCGTCCTACTCGGGTAAATGAATGGCCTGTGCATGATTTAAGATGATCAAGACTTCTCTGTGAGAACACAAACACATCTCATCCCGACTCTACCGAATGTGGAATTCAATGTTCTGTAATGGACATATGAGTATTGTGACACAGAACCACCCTTGTACCCTGCACATGTTTACTCCTCTTGGTTTGACCGTGGCAATAGTTTGACTGTCCTGTGACCCATCTGTTTTCCTTCCTTTGAGTCAGAGTGTTAATTTCA